GTGGGGTCCTTCATGATGCAGGTGGCCCTCTTCCTGCATCTGGAGGTGTAGATGTCTGTGATGGTGGGGAGGCTGACTCCAACATCTTCTGTGTATCCATTTAGATGCAGTTTACAGGAGCAACACACTAGATTTAAAACATCCTAACACTGAATTTTATTAGGTTCATTAGCTTTTTTATAAACTTTCTCAGGTAATAAACCCCTCTGCACCATCTTTGTCAGGTAATTCAATTCAACCTTTATTTATACAGGTTAGTCTCATTGAGCCTCAAGGACTCGTTTACAAGAGACCTGATTTAACAAAGAACACAGAAGACAATAGTAGATAATCATAAAAAAAGCATATAAAATGAAAACTAAATGGAAGAAATTATATTAAAAAAATGAAACAAAAACAGCTAGATGTAAAATATTAAAAACAGGAACATGTCTGTGTTGGTTTTTGCCATGAACTTAGCAGATGTTTAAAGTCCCTTACAGAGGTCACAGTCAAGTCGAACCAGCCACTTGGAGCACAAGTCAGTGTATCTCTTGTGCCGGTTTCAAGCCCGGGTAAATGCTGAGGGTTGAGTCAGGAACGGCATCTGATGTAAAACACTTTTGCCAAAACCATAATACGAGTTCATCAAAGCGAAACCATACCAGATCGGTCGAGGCCTGGGTATACAACGACCGCCACTGTTGACAAACGGTGCCAGCCGACATTGTGCTACTGTTACTCCAAGACCATGAGGAGGGAAACATGTCAGGAGACAGAGAGAGAAGAGGAAAGTCTAAATGTAGGACCATGCACGTGTGCAAGACATGGGTTTCAGCTGTCACATTCCTTGTGTCAAGACACACTTGAACAAGAGACAGCGTCAGAAGCATCTCGCCTGGGACTGCTGCTGAGTGGTCCAAAGTTCTGTTCTCTGATGAAAGTACATTTTGCATTTGTTTTGGAAATCAAGGTCCCAGAGTCTGGAGGAAGAGAGGAGACACAGAATCCACGTTCCTTGAGGTCCAGTGTCAAGTTTCCACAGTCACTGATGGTTTGGGGCCATGTCATCTGCTGGTGTTGGTCCACTGTGTTTTCTGAGGTCCAAGGTCAACGCAGCCGTCTGCCAGGAAGTTGTAGAGACTTCCTGCTTCCTGCTGCTGAACAACTTTATGGAGATGCACATTTCATTTTCCAACAGACTTGGTACCTGCACACAGTACCAAAGCTACCAGTACCTGGTCTAAGGACCATGGTGTCCCTGTTCTTAATCGGCCAGCAAACTCACCTGACCTTAACCCCATAAAAAATCTTTGGGGTATTGTGAAGAAGATGATGTGAAACACCAGAGCCAACAATTGAGAAGAGCTGAAGGCCACGATCAGAGCAACCACAATGAACTATTCAGAAAAAAAAAAATCCCTCCACATTGACCTACTCAGGAAATAAACCCCTCAACACCTACTTTTTCAGGTAATAAACACCTCCAGGGCTTAATTTGTAAACCGACTGATGCCGGAACAGCGGGCGGGCGGACAGTGTGTGTGTGGAGGGTTTCGGGGGGTGTCTGTGGGTCCTCCCACAGAAAATGTTGAATAACAGAGATGCCATTTCCTCCATTCCTGTGTATTTGAACGGACTGTCAAACATCTACATTTACCTACATTTGTAAACACGTGATTAAATGACTATTTTAGAGAGGAACAGCAAGTTGTGTGTGAACAGAGCAGCTGTGATTCTGTCAGGTGTCCCCACCCCCCTCCCGCCCCCAACTTCACAGTCGGAGTTGAACTCCTCTCTGCTGAATTTGTTGCTCCTGCTCCATCTCCAAGCGGCACCGTTTGAAGCACCTGAAGGCTTCAGTTCTCGGTTGTCCAGCTAAGGACAATCCATCCATCCATTTATTTATTTCATGAAAGTGAACTGGACGGTCTTTTCAACAATTTCATCGCTGTTATTTTGACAAATAGTGCCGTTGTTTTGAAACGTGATGTGAATAACAAACATTTCTCTCTTTGTATTTTTACTTTTATTTTTACACTAAGCTTTTTTTATTTATTATGTCTGAATGTAGCAGGAGTTCAGACACATCAGCAGTTGTGCGTGCGCTGTGTAGAGCTGTGTGGAGACGTTTCTGTGTGTAACGTGCACTGTCCACAGGGCGCGCTGCTGAAAGTGTTGGATGAAGACACTTCATGCCGTCCACGTCTCAGACACTGAAGCCGGTTTTCATCCATCAACATGAAACACATTTTCTTATTTATTCTGTTGAATAAATGATCGTTTCTGTTGCTGAATGGATCGCTTCAGCAGCGTCATGTGACCTGCAGCCCCCCCCCACCCTCCTTAAGTGATCGGGGGGGTCTGAGAGAAGGGTGTTTTTCAGTGCAGCGCCGCTGAGGAGGGACAATGCCTGGAGAGGAGGAGGAGAGAAGGACTCCACTGCAGCACCTTTGTGCGTAAATGTGACCATCTGTCCCTGCGTCCTCACCCCCCGCCTCCTCCAGAGGCTCCTCTCCTGCTCCTCCCAGCCTGGGAAGGTGCATGTGAGCGAGCTGGTGCACGTGCTGCGGCTGGAACATCCACTTCACAGACTGGGCAACGTCTCCTCTCGTTGTATTTTTATTAAATTATACTGTTATGGAATTGTTTTGTACTTTTTTAAATGAATAAACTTTATACCATACCATACCAAATAATCAAAATAAAAATGTGCGATGACTTTGGACTTTTAGGGGCGGATATTCGAGATGCTGGATCCGAGCAAACAGTTGCCAGAACACACCCGGTCAAAATGAGAGTTCCCGGATCTTGTTCTGGCTCAAATTAACCCCTGAACACCTCAACTCAGACAGAACAATGATACTGTGAAGAAATGCTGACACAGCGCTCAGACAGGACTCTGGGACAGACCTGAAGTAGGTGGCGATGCAGAGGAGGACAATCAACATGGGGTAGTAGATGTAGAAACCATTGGCAATGAAGGAGAGGACTTTCATGGACCCCATGATCTGAAACAGAGACACGGAGTCAGACAGGTGGAACTGGAATACGCGGCAGGTTCTGGTCTGTGGGTTTTTTACGGTGGTGTATGCCGTCTGCAGCTTCTCCTGGTGGGAGATGGCCGAGTCCATGTGGATCAGACCCAGGAAGTTCAGACACAGAGGAGGAGTCAGACGACAGAAAAGCCTGCAGGTCACATACAACGGTTCAAAAGAATCAGTTCCTGGGTTCTGAATCCTCAGCCAGTTCAGGTTCTGAAGGTGAGACCCTTTCCATCAGTCACTCACATGCCGCTGAACTGCAGGCTGTAGGCGTCGGTCTGATGGTGCGAGGCCAGGTAGTAGTAGTTAAAGACCCGGATCCGAAACACCGTGGAGTAAACACACGTGCAGAGGAAGAAGATGGTGATGAAGCACGCCATCTGGTGGACAGACCAGGTGTTACGTTAGAGAACAAAGTTCTAACAGGGTCCAATAAAATCAGACCTTTATAAAAGTTCAGTATGTGGACAGAGTTTACAGGAAATATGCCTCTGACTTTCAGAATAAAAGCATGGGCATCACCACCTCGATATACAGGTAGTTGTAGTCTCGCTCAGCCAGCTGGATGAAGACAGCGAACAGAGACAGGACGGGCCGGGTGCTGAAGAAGGTGCACTCAGACCAAACCACGGCCACGCTGAACAGGGTCAGAACCACCGAGAGCAGCCGGTAGAACCAGCGCTTCAGGAGACACTCCCAGTACCACTCTGGACCGAGACACAGAGACACAGATGGACGTCAGAGGTGTGGATGTATCTGCTGCAGGGAAGATACTGATCATTACAACTCCATAGAACCAGACTCTGGACTCTGACCCACCTACAGTCGGGGTGTAGACATATCTGCTGACCCAGCCAGCGGTCTCAGAGGACGGGAAGCTGTGAACGAACTGGTGGCTGGAACTGGTCTCGTTCTTGGCCACGTCCTCCAGGTGGACCGCCTGCTGCAGGAGGATCTGCCACTGGACCCGGGTCCTGTTGTGTCTCTGCACTGCGTAGATCACCTGAGGACAAACACCAGGTCTTGTAATGTCTCATGCGGTGAGGAAGGGACAGGTGAGCCGAGACACCCTGGACAAGTCTCACCTGTTTGTGCAGCTTCACCAGGTTCTTCTCCGTCGGGTACATGTTCTGCTTCTCATCAAAGTCCTCGTAGTCATCCATGTTCCGACCCATCTTCTCTTGATAGTCCACAGGACACTGAGGGGACACGTCCACATTAAGTCCACCTGACAGACAAGCCAGCAGCAGGACCTGTCAGAAGCAGCAGCTCACCTTTCTCAGAATGGTGTCGATGAACTTCCTCAGTGGATGGTTGTACTTGATGGACTCGCTGATCTTCCTGACCTCCTGCAGCAGAACAGAACCACAGTTAGACCCTGACATGGACCCAATGCCAACAACAGTCTGACCATCCACAGCTGTCCACCTCCATCACGTCCTCCAGGTTCTCCTCGGCGTCCGCCTTTTCGGTCATCAGCTTGGCCGCCTTGAAGTAGGTTTTGATGAGGAGGTGTCCGTGTCGGGAGGCATTCCAGTAGGAGCGAGGGATCTCCACCAGGCCGTAGCCGAGCAGGAGGACCAGCAGGAACAGACCCCAGGTGTTAGCTGCTGTGATGCCGATGGTCTGCAGCTCGTACCTGAGGAGCACAAACATCAAACCATCACCTGCTCCACAGCTGCTCACGTTCATCCTCCACAGAAATCAGAACCCTGCTCCGGCTCTGCGTCCAGGAGTCAAGACTGCAGGCGGGCCAGTCCAGAACCTGAGCTTCTTTAGAATGTGACCTTGGTGAAAAAGCCCTTCCATCACAGTGCATGATGCTGCCACCACTGTGCTCAACACTGGCGTCAAGTTTCACATAATGAAACTTTATTTTAGTCAGAAATAAAAACATTTCTGTGTTTGTTCTTTGGTTCTCGTCTTAAAATAAGATGATGAGACAGAAACAAACATTTCGTTATGCTTTCACCAGAGTTCTACAAACCACTAGAGGGCGCTCAGGCCACATGACTGTGATTCACTGGAGCTACGTTGGCCTTTTACCAAAACAGCCAAGTGTCTGCACTGAGCGTTTTGACTAAATATCTCTGAGTAAGAGCTGACTATGTAACACATGTCAACAATAATAATAACAGTGTCTGTAATATAATTATAAGATGTTAGACTGTATGTAAAAATATGTCAGAAAGCTGTGTTCTACAGCCGTAGCAACAGAGGAGAAAAGGAAAAATGTCTCTTTCCTCCAATCAGCACATTTGATCTTATTTAGCACGATGTGATCTGAGCAGAACTGAAGCTGCTAATGGACCGGCTTACAGCTGAAGTATCAGCTGTTAATGATGGAGTAGTCTTGTAGATCGTAGCTCCTGAGGCAGATATTCTGTACTGTACAGACGGAATCAGGTTACAGTTTACTCGCTATTTTTTTCAAAAGAGCCATATTGACAGATCAAAGTCAAGGGGAGAGCTGCGATATCAGCTCATGTCACTCAAAGAAAAGAAAAAAAATTGAACAACCCACCTATGAACAAAAAAGAAACATCCATCCCATTATCTGTTTAAACAAAATGTACATTAGTCCTGAGATGAGAAGCTGTGGAGCATGTCCTGGACTTTCTTCATGTTGTAATTTGTTGTTGCAGCCACAGTGAGACATTCAAGATGGGCATGGATCAGTGGGTTTCTCTGTTTTTATTTGATACTGTTCATGGTTGAAAATACAACTATCAGCATCTATAACAACTCTTGAACAAAACCAGGATGATGAGCTATGACAGCACTTAATTTACCTTTGGGATTAATAAAGTATTTTTAAATTGAATTTGAATTGATATGTTCATTCACTGGTGTAAAAATGTCAGCTTTTATCTGTTACCCCAGTCCCAAGAAGAAAACAAGTCCACAATAACAATGAATACCAAAGTCCATGCTCAACAATGAATATGCTGTAATATGTGTACGGATGAAGATGCCCCCTTCACATTTCCACCTGCCCCCTCATGTAACCATGCCTAGAACCGGCCCTGCTTAGATGCTCCTACTTCCTTCACTGCAGATGACCAAAGGTGCAGAGACGCGTGTGGTCGGCGATGATCAGCTGATCCATCTGATCCATCTGAGATTAACAGGACGTGTTTTTTACGTCTTTTGACCGGCGGGTAAGCAGATGTGCACGGCCGGTGAGGAGATGATCCATCTGAAGCTTAACAGGACTTTTTTTACGTCTCCTGGCCGGTTGGACCTGCCTCCTCCTCAACAAGTAGATTAACAGAATATTATTCGTAAAACCACATCAAAGAAGCCCGAGCTGATGTGCACAATTATTGCACAATGCGCCAGCACGATTTTAAAACTGTACTGGCTGTGCTGGTGTAACCTGTCACAGAGCCACCAATAAAGCATGGCGAGCTGCATGTGGCTCGGGAGCCGCACAATGAGTATCCCTGGTTTAGACGAAGCTGGCGTCAGAGAGCAGGCCGGCCTTGCCCATTCAGGTATCTCCCCCACACCTCCACCCCAAGACAGATTACAACACCGTGTAAATAAATTGAACCTATGCAATGTATTGACTCAAGACAACCAGCAGAGGGTGCTGTAGGAGATTAAACTAGACTTTTAGAGCTGGTAAAGAAGACAAACTAGTTTTGAGAAGTCTCCATAGTTTTTTTTTAGAAGGTTCTAACCAGGAAATGCAAGACAGAATGGAAGGACAGCCTATTAAGAAGATTTCAATCTGGGAAACACAGACTGCAGCTGGATTAGACCTAAACAGGCCAGTACAGCCAGAGGGATTTCTTACTCAAGCGTCTGAAAAGATGAACCTGTTCAATGCATTTTTAATAAAGAGGCAGAAAATCTGATTATTGAGTTCAATGATTTTTTAAATGAATTTTCCACAGAGTTTGTTTTATTTGCATGTCAGATTTGTTCAACCAAAGAGTGGAAATGTTAAAAATGTTCCGTATTGTTGAAATATTTTCACCTCAATCAACCTTTATTTATTCAGGTAAATCCCATTGAGCCTCGAGGACTCATTTACAAGAGAGACCTGATTTCAACAAAGAAAGATGACAACAATGGACAACAGCAACAACAATAAACAGTTATAAAAAGTCATACTGCAGGTTTTTTTTTTTTTTTTTTACAAATAGGATGGCTAAAAGGAAAAGGTAACAAAACAAAAAAAACAAACAAAACAGCTAGATTCTAAGGCGAATGTAGAAAACTAAAAACAGGAACATGTCTGCATTGGTTCCTGCCAGGAGTCCAACAGATTCTTGAAGCCACTTAGAGAGGTCAAAGGTCGAGAGCTTCAAATCTTTTTGTAAGATATTCCAGGAAACAGGAGCGGAGTAGGAGAAGTTCAGTCCTCATTGAGGGAACACTGCAGGTAATAATGTCCTGAGAGCGCACGCTGTAGCTGCACTCACGCAGAGACATGTAGGAGGAGATGTATGAAGGCAACAGACCAAGAAGTGATTTAAAGATGAAAATGTATCAGTGAGAGAGTCTGCGTGAAGTTAATGAGGTCCAGTTAACCAGTGAATACAGAGTGCAATGGTGGGTACGATAATCACAGCCAGTTATGAATCTTAGTGCACCATGATAGACAGCATCCAACATCTGCAGGGTTCTTGTAGGAGCGTTCATGTAAATAATATCACCATAATCAATTGAGGGAAGGAAAGTCACAGATACAAGGCGTTTTCTAGCATTCAGGGTTAGACAGGATTTGTTTCTGAAAAAGAAACCCAGTTTAACTTTCAGTTTCTTTACCATGTTTTCCACATGGAGCTTAAAAGAGAGATGTGAGTCGACCAAGATACCCAAATATTTATAGGAATCAACAAACTTAATGGGGACACCATTTGAGGATAAAATTGGAGGTAGAACTGCAGGGACCAACTTCCTATTTGAAAAAAGCATCCCTTTGGTTTTTTCGGCATTTAGGACAAGTTTGAGGCGGAACAAATCAGTCTGGATGTAGTTGAATGCAGATTTCAAAAGCTGGAAAGCCTTAGCAACTGTTTTAGCTCGACAATAAACAACTGTGTCATCAGCATAGAAATGTATGGATGCATTAGGGATGTTTTTACCTACATTACGTATGTAGATTGTAAAGAGGGTGGGTCCTAAGACTGAGCCTTGTGGTACACCATTGTTGACTGTTAAATAACTGGAGGAAGTACCATTATGTTGAACACATTGCCTCCGGTCTGAAAGATAGTTAGAGAACCAACAAATGGTGTGATCTGAGAAACCAATTTCTGAGAGTTTATGACACAAGATGTTCTGATCCACAGTGTAAAAACTTTAGACAGGTCTAAGAAAAGTGCAGCACAATAATCTTTAGCATCCAGTGCTTCAACAACATCATTAAGAACCTTCAGTGAAACAGTGGTTGTGCTGTGTTGTTTCCTGAAACCAGATTGATGTGGAGGTAAGATGTTAAATGAGTCCAGGTCATTTTTGATTTGAGAGTTTATCAGTTTTTCTAGAACCTTGGCTAAAATGCAGAGTTTAGAGATTGGTCGATAGTTGTTCAGTGAGGTGGGGTCTCCTCCCTTAAGCAAAGGAAGAACAAAGGCTGTTTTCAAGTGTCTGGGATGGAGTTTTGTCTTATGGAGAGATTGAAGATGTGGGTCACAGGGACTGTGATGATATGAGCAGCCAGCCTTAAGAAATAAGGTGGAAGTTCATCTGGACCTGCAGATTTTTTAGGGTCAAGATCTTTTAATAGTTTATTGACCTCACTGACTGAGAATGGAGAAAAAGAGAAGGTGTGATTAACTGAGGATTGACTTGTAGGAGGGATTTGATTTGTAGAAGTTTGGTTATTAAGTGAAGTGGCTGATTTTCCATTAGTAACTGTGTCAAATAAAGAACTAGAAGCGACAAAATGTTTGAAACAGTTCAGGATCTCGTGCTTATTTGACACAGGAACAGAGTTAACGAGAAGTTGTGATGGGAGGTCAGACGATTGGGGGGTGCCTGAGAGAGATTTGATGGTTTTCCAGAATCTGTTAGGGTCATTTAGATTTTTGGAGGTCTGAGATAAGAAATAGTTGTGTTTTGCTGCTTTGACAGCAGTTGTGCATTTATTCCTCATCTGTCGAAAACTCAACCAATCAGTGTCTGAGTCAGATTTTCTCGCTGCAGCCCAAAGATGATCTCTCCTGTGCAGGAGGTCAGCTAGCTCTGGAGTAAACCAGGGGCTGTCTCGTCCCTTTATTCTGAACTGACGAAAAGGAGCATGTAAGTTCAGGAAATAAATGAAATTATTATGGAAATAGTTCCAAGCAGAGTTCACGTCATCAGTTAACAGAATATGATGCCAGTCAAAGTGAGACAGATCCCAGAGGAATGACTGTTCACAAAAATGTTTCAGATCCCTTTTTGAATTAATCTGGGCTTAGAAGGTGGAAGTTTAATATTTCTTAAAGCAGCTGTCACACAATGATCACTCAAAAGATCAGTGAATACACCTGTACCAGGGAATGTGTGAGGCATATTAGTTAGAAACAGGTCTAAGATGGAGGATTTTTCAGGACGGTTTTTGTTTAATCTAGTGGGAGAGTCGATCAATTGGGTAAGATTGAGAGACAGGCGACATTCCTTGAATTTATCACAGAGGGGGGTCGACTTACACCAATCAATGTTGAGGTCTCCAGCCAAAAGGATCTCTTTGAATTTTAAATTACCAAGAAATTTCATCAGGGCGGACAGAGCCTCAGGTGATGCTGAGGGTGGGCGGTAACAGCAGACTACAGTTAAGATCTGGCCTCCATTCAAGGTGATGTTTACAGATAAGGCTTCAAACTTCAAACTTCAAACTGACTTCAAACCTCTCTTCACGAGTTCATGAACAGAACCTTCAAGTTTCTGGTGTTAATGTTTCAAACACAATGATTAATGCTACTTTATAAGATTTATGCAAAAATTCTTTCTGCAAACTTGAGCACAGTTCCTCAGCATGTTCTGGTGACGACACGTCACTGTTTAACTTTTTGTTTTGTATTAATAAACAACATATGGTTATTTCAGTTGAAAGGTTACGGAAATGTTTATGTATTTATAAAAAATAAAATGACTATTTACTGTCCCCCCCCCCCAAAATATTCCTCAGCCCCCCCCAGCTAAATTCTTCTGGAGCCGGGTCTGAAAACGCGTTTGTTTCAAACTCATCAGCATTATTCAAGCAGCTAAAAAGTCTTGAAATCACTGGAAGTCCGTTGTTAAGTGTTGACAGTTTCCTGAATGAAACCAACAGTTTCTCATTTCATCGTGTTCATTCTGAGATAACATTTTGATTTTTACACCAGAGTCAAAACAAAGATTTGGACCCAGGAACAGGAGTTTGCTGATGGGACTCCTCAGGACTCACCAGGACAGGTGCAGCTCAGGGTGGACGGCCACGTAGATGAGCAGTGAGCCGAAGATCAGCAGGTAGGTGCCGTAATAGATGGCATTCTCAATGAGCGCCGTTTTGATCTTGCCGGTGATGGAGAAGCCTCCGGAGCGAGCGTAGGACTGCATGAAGGGCAGCAGCAGCCTGAGGACAAGAGGAGGGTCAGAGAAACCTGAAGAGAGACAGCCAGTACTGGACCAGGGTCTGACTGACCAGGTGAGGCACTGGGAGGTCCAGTAGACCACCCTCCAGAACAAAGGCCTGATGTTTTCAGGGATGTAGCTCCAGGGTCTGTAGCACTGAGTCAAAACTCTGCAGAGACACAGGAACCAGTAAAAACGTTCTGAGGTTCAATAAACACTGAGCGCCTTTAACGAAACATAGCATAGGTCATCCTCAACACACTTCACTGGACGAAATAGTCTCAATTATAGAATTTAAACTGAAAAAACTGGTTTTAAATCCTTTAAAACAGAGGAGTGGTGCATGCATAAGGATCCACCCCCTCTGAAGCTCCAACAGATCCCTTCAGATCCTCCTGAGCAGGTCCACCTGAGTCACATGATCCCAGTATAGAATCAGAACAGCACCACTACAAAATGTGGACTACTGCCAAGTAAGAGACATCATGAAGACCAAGGTACACGTCATAAAGGTCAGAGACAAACCTGTAGAGAAGAACCAGTGAGTCGGGTTTAAAAACTAACCCATAACCCTGAACGTCCCACAGAGATCCAGAAGGTCCATTATTCGGAAACAGGAAGATGATGGCAGAAGACGGTCATCCACCAAAACTCACAGAGCAGATAAGGAGGACATTAATCAGAGACATCCAGAAGGAGACATCTGAGACTGGGACAGAAGTCCTCCTTCCAGCCAGACAATGACCCTTAACATCCTGGTGAAGACTTCAGTGGTTTAAAGAGAACCGGGTAAAGGTCCTGGAATGATTCAGTCAAAGTTCAGACCTCAGTTCAATTGAAGCCTCGGGCTTGATTTAAAGACTGTTGGACACAAGCAGCACCATCCCACCTACAGGAACTGGACATGTTTGCACATGAAGAAGGGACAAAATGTCCACAAGTTATATAGACCAAGATCAAGAAGATGAACCACTAGAGGCCGATGGACCAGGATCATGGAGACAGAACTGAAGAGACCAGATGGACCAGGATCGTGGAGACAGACCTGAAGAGACCAGATGGACCAGGATCATGGAGACAGACCTGAAGAGACCAGATGGACCTGGATCACAGAAAAGGACCTGATGAGACCTCATGGTGGACCTGCAGCAGAACCTTGGGTCATAAAGAGTTGATCCTTGGGGGCTGAAAATTTATGCATACACCTGTTTTAGAAAGCCAGGGTTTTGGGGGGTATATTTTGGACCAGGCCCTAATAATTCAGAAGATCAGAAGTTCTTCACTCAGCTCTGCCTCGTTCGAACATTGAGGAAACCCAGAACAGGAGGACTAAGTGAAGGTTTGCTCCAGAACCTGCCCATCTAGGCGAGTTCTGACCTGCTGGTTGGTTCTGCAGACGTGTTGAGGGAGCTGTGGTTGACTGGGCTGATGGTGGGAACTGAGACCAGGTCCTGGTGGTCCCAGACACACTGACTGTAGATGGTCTGGAAGAACAGAAAGACAGGTCAGCAAGTTTACATACAGGAACTAAGAACATATAAAACAGCCCCAGTCCAGTCCAGTGATCGGTTCTGGACCTGTGAGCCCAGCACATGGGTACGGACCGTGCTGACGTCTAGAGGGAGGATGAAGACGATGAGGAAGCAGAGGTACCAGGCCACCAGCGTGCCGAACAGAACCATCCTCTGTTGCTTCCTGAAGTCTCCGTACCGGTGCAGCAGGAACAGAGCAAGGAAGAAGACCAGAATGATCTCCACACCGAGTGCAGCGCCACTCATGGTGCTGGGGAGGTCCGAGCAGGTCCAACAGAGTCCTGCAGGAGAGACCAGGGCCATGATGATGAAGAGGATGATGAGGATTAACGAGCAGCTTCATCTCTGCCTGCACAGGCCATCCTGAAAGCCTCTTTGTGCTTCTGGGAGCTCCAGAACCCGAACAAGAAACAGAACCGACCACAGAGCTTTGGATTTGTTCACTTGTCTTTTAACAAGAAAGTCATAATGTTCCCAAACAGGAGACCACAACGAGATGCTAGGCTGCTAATGCTACATGTGCTTCAAGATAATAGCGCCGTGCTGAAACTAGAGATGCACCGATCCACTTTTTTTAACTTCCGATCTGATCCTGATACCTAAATCTGAGGGTGCATTCACACCTGATAGTCCGGTAGACTCGGTTCGGTTCGGGACCAATATTCATGACATTTTGTTTACATTTGAGCTGGTGCGTTTGCATTCACACTGCACTGTGCAGTCGAGCAAACCTGTTGAGCCAACCTGTTCCCCCACTTGCCTGTGGGGGCGCTGCACCAAGAACTACTGAAAGAAACAACACAAAAACCTCTGAAGACACTTCTTCTTCTTCTTCTTCTGGAAATTAAAACAAAAACAGAGTGGCATCAAGTTTTAGCAGTTTTAGGAGTTATATTTTGTCATTTTTCAAAAACTGACTCAGCATGAGCAGAAGATGAGGCAGAAGACCCTGGAGAATGTTTTTCACACAAGGCAGCTGACGGCTCCATATAAGGTCAGAGAAATGCATGTTTGTTTGCTCTGCGCTGTACTCCACTTCTTGCTTGTGGAGCGGGGCTCGGTCTGTTTACATTCACACTGTACTCGAACCGCGCTGGAGTTCTCTTCTACCGGACCGAGACCTAGGTTTTAGCCCGGGCCAGAGTTCGCCTTTTTGTTCTGTGACAGAGTTCGATGGTGCGTTCACACCTCCCCAAACGAATCAGACTTTCTAGGAAAACGAGCTAGAGTTCGATTAAAGCGGACTAAACAGGGCTGGTGTGAATGCACCCTAAGAAAAACAGTGTGGAGTTTTGAAAAATAAAGCTGAGGTGTTCTGTATGCAGATTGCCCTATTACTCCTCACAATAGGTGTTCATTGTTAGTCTGACTCAGACAGGCCCCTGTGGTTACATGTATGAAGTTTCTGATAGGTGTGAAAATGACTGGGTGTCAGGCCTAAAGCTACATTACAGTAGGCCCTCGTTACCTCGTGGTTAGTTTTTCATGGATTCACTATTTCGCGTTTTTTCAAAATAATATGGGACATGACACAATTGGCTGATTGATGGATGAGTCATGGGTTGTTTATTTAAAATAAATTATTTTAAATGATTTTGCACAATATGTGCAGCCCAGAAGTGAAGGGAAAGCTCCCTCCTGTAGCTGATCAGCTGATCTCCTTCTCTGCCACAAACACACATTTCTCCACAGCATGTCCAGTCCAAGACCCCGACAATTTACTGGTATCTCATCAAGCCCAACCAAATCCCAGTAACAACACATTTAATGGAAGACAACACACTGAACAATCACATGCCAGGGAGACAGAAAAGTGGGTGAAGAATTTATCTGACAGACTGCTCACCCAGCCAGAGACAGAGATTCTTGCCAGGGGACTGAACTTTGCGGTTGCACCAAGTAGAATTCCTCTGGTGGAGATGATCACAGCTACTGAGTCAGCCATCCGCAACAACAAAATGAAAGAGGGTGAAGCAGAACAGCTCAGAATCAAAGTTTCATCCTGCCTCAGCAATGCCAAACCACCACCTTCCAACATCAGTAGAGAGGAGAGGGATGCACTCACCACTCTTAGCAAGGACAAAAACATCATCATTCTCCCAGCAGACAAAGGAAGGTGCACAGTGATTTTGAACCAGAAAGACTATCATGAGAAAGTTATGACACTCCTTAGTGACTTAAAACCACTTATGAACCTCTGAAGAGATCCAGGAAGTGGTTACAAGAAGAAGTTGATAGATTGCCTGAAAAATTTGGAGCAGGACAAGGCTATTGACCGTATTCTGTACCACAGACTGTACCCAGGGGAGGCCACACCTAGTCTGTATGGTTTACCTAAAATCCACAAACAAGGTGTACCTTTAAGACCAATTGTTAGTATGATTAACTCTGTCACTTACAATGTTTCCAAATATCTGGCGTCTGTACTCATCCCTTTAGTTGGCAGCTCAGAACACCACATACAGAACACCATGGACTTTGTGGACAAGGTGAGGGATGTCATCATGGAGACTGATGAAACAATGGTCTCTTTTGATGTCACATCACTCTTTACGTGCATTC